CCCCCCCGCCCGACCCCCGCTCCTCCTTTTGCCCCCTCGTCCTGCTGCACGTAGGCATTGTCAGAAACAGGGGAAGACCTGCTGGAACATCGAGAGCGCGCCGTCTTCAACGCAAGCGTGCTGTCAGGCGAATTTTGTAACACCGCAACTACCGCTACCTCTAATGCTGTCACGAACACGGAGCACCGGCAAGGCGTGGGCGAGAGAAACGCGGCGCATCACGGCCGCACCACCGCCGTCAACCCTGGAAGCGAAGGCAGAGAAAATAGATTCGGCGGCGGCGCTAGTAGTAGTAGTGACCGCGAGGCCACGATATCCTGGGTGGTGGGAAGGAGGCCAGCGGGGGAGGAAGGGTCCCGAGCTCTGCTGTTGGTATCCGTCGACTCTTCCGCCAGCAGCGGTGCTGCTACCCCCCTCGCAGGTGGCGCCGAAGCGGCCACTTGTCTGTTGGATGAGGCGGGCGGGCAGGAGGGATACGGGGGTGACCAACAACAACAAGACGAGGAGGAGGGCGTGGTCCACCCGGCCGTCGAACTCTGGAACGAGACGTTTGAGGAGGACGAGCTATCGGACGCCGACGGCGGCGTAGGCGACGACGGTGATGCTGAGCGTGAGGTGGAGGAGGGGGACGGGGAGGGGGCGCATAAATGGTTCTTTGAGGCTCCACGATCGAAGGGACGCGACGCTCGCAAGGGGGGCGCTGCAGACGGGTGAGAGGGGTACTGATGTAAACGCATGCCGTCGTTGGTAGATCATTGAACTCGCATCCCTGACCATGCCCGAACGGAGTGATATGCCGGGTTTTCGCCGGCCCAGAAGCTGCTTATCATCCTCTGGCGTTTGCTGTACAAGTCCAGATACGGGGGGGAGGACTCATAGTCGTGCATGCCATGTGATAGTCGTCAGACCATAGACCTCGCATCCCTACAAAGCCGGGACGGCGCACGCCGGGTTCTCGCCGAACCAGGCTCTCACATCACCAAGCGCGAAGCGCCGTGAGATATTCGGCGAGCCGCATGAGGGTGCGCTGCACCCTGCTGAGGGTGTTCGGCATCTTGTGCTCACTTCCTTGCCTACGGATGGCACCTGCGAATTTCTTCCAGGTCCAGAGACAGTTGTAAGCACTGTGTAACTGCCTCGAGGGTGCTTGAACATTTTAACACAACGCGGTGCATCATGAAGGGATCGGCTTATTTTATACAGCAGTCGTTGCCAAGCGACCAACTCCCGCGTTTGCTCAGGGATCTCTCCAACGAATGTTGCCAGCGCACTTGTCCGCGCGAGCGTAAAACACCGCTGCCCCCCCCCCCCNCCCCCCCCCCCCGCGGTATTCCCTACAGACACAGGCGTGGTCCCTACGGTCTCGAATGGGTCGCCCAGGCGCGGGTGCAAGACCTCGTCGGCGAGAGCCGCCGCCTTGACGCCGACTCCCTGAGGGCACTGATTCACGCCCTGATCGCCGTGGTGCACGGCAGCCTACCGGCTCACGAGCGACGGCGGAGGCGAGGGTTTGAAGGAGGCGCGGGCGGGGGGACAGGTGTTGGTGATTGTAGCACAGCAACACATTGGGAAGGGAGTGGTGGCACGGCGGCGGCGGTGGCGACGGAAGCAACCGAGGACGGGCTCCAGTTTCGACGACGGACGTGAGGCTTGCTTTTGGGGGGGGGAGCAGGGGCGTACGGGGGATGAAGTATCCGGCCGAACATACCTGCTGACGATTTTGGCAAAGTACTTTGTTCTTTGACAAGGATCCTACTTGGCCAACTCGTACTAGCGTTTATTTCATGAAGAACGTGTGAGCGTCCAGTCCCCCACTCTCTCATCCGCAGCCCTCCAACCCGTTCCATTCAACCTTTGTTCGACCGCCCATCTCCTGTGACTTGTATTGCGACAACTTGCCTCGGGCAGCACGCCGCAAGTATCGACGGCGTCCTTGGCGTACGCGGAGGTGTTGATCGCAGAGATAGCGCTGAGGAATCGGGAGCGGATCGTGCTCGTCCTGCCGGTTCTGCTAGAGCACTACAGGTGGGGGGGAATACAATCATCCCTCGGTAAAGGACACCATTTGTAAAGACACTCCCCCGGTTAAGGACAACATTGTTTTCACAGGCATGGTGGCTCGCAGAATGACAGGGTAAGGAGGGGTATCAACCTAAAGGACACTTCCCTGGCTCAAGGGACACTTATTGAAACGAAACACCATGTATGTCCTTAACCGAGGGCCCACTGTACGAAGCAGCATTGTTGTCGTTGTTATGTGTGTTGGTGCTGATCTTACGCTGCTTCTCGTGTCCCTGTCGGAAGATAAACCACGGGTCGCTCGCTCTCTACAACGTTCACGTGAGTGTTATATTCTTTGTCGGCGGTTGAGCATTTGTTCTTACAGTAGTCGGTAGTTGATTATTTATTCTTAGTCGGTAGTTGAGTCCCCTCCATGACGGCGGCGAACGCCGTGACTTTTGTCAACCATTTTTTTTTTCGGTCATAAAGGCGGCGTTGGTCCTTGCAATAAAGTAGCACTATTGTAAGCGGTAGACCATGATTCTCCGTTCCCCCTGCTAAACCACTTTGTTTCCTGGGCCCTCCATGATGAATGTCTATCCATCAGTAGCCTGACGGCGTGAGACATACCATACATCGCCGCATTCGCTTGGTTATAATTTTTGTCAGCGGTAAACCATGCTTCTCAACCCCCCCCCC